TCTCTTACCTTTTTATAGCACTTGCCATGTTTTGTTGTTATTTTTTTATTTCTACCTCGCTGCCCTGTCTGATTAGGAACTCCTTGAGGAAAGGAACCATGCCACTTTATTAGTAGTAGTAGTAGTAGTAGTAGTAATAGTAGTAGTAATATTTTGCCTTATTTTTATAGCCTTATTGAGCTCAGTGTCTGACATACAGTATGCAACCAAATGTTTTTATTTGTTGTTTTTGAAGTTTTTATAATGATATTTGTATTAGACACAAAGAGTACACCAAATGTCTAAGCACAGTTTAAACAAAATACCAGAATGAACACCAGTATTCCCACCACCAAACCTATGAAAGAGAATACTACCAATACCTTTTAAGTGTAAGTTTTTAACTATATACGTAAATAAATGTTACCTGTTTTCTTAATTTTACCTAGTGTTCTAGCTCTTTGAGGTAATTTCAAATCTTAATTTGAACACATCCTATAATAAGCTATTTTTCCAAGTGTTAGCATCTGAAAATATAAGCTTTTCTTCTATATCATCTTCTACTCCATTATTAAGCATGTTGACTAAACTAAGACCAAGGACAAATCTAGAGACCCCCTTACATGGTTGTGATTACTATTGCCTGTGGCTGTTCAGCCAGTCACCTGACTATTCCATCATACAAGCCTCATTTCAAGGAGAGCTAACATTTATTTGGTGTTTAACATATAATAAACCATTTATATGTGACAGCTTACTTAATCTTTACAAAAGTCCTCCAGCATTCATGCATTCCTCCCATTTTGGAGGTAAGGAAACTGAGGCTCAGAAAGGCTACCTTACTCAATATCACCTGGCTGAGAATTGGGCAGAGTCAGGACTAGAATCACGATGGGCCTTTGTCCTGACCCATACTTTCTCTTCTGTTGTTCACTGGTGTATCAGGGAACACCTAACGAAAACTTTTTAGAAATGAAGATTCCCTAACCCACTTGTCATCAAGGCCAGAAGGTTATGTTCACTTTGAGTAAGTCTCCGTTGGCTCTAATGGCCCTTGCTTTCTGCTCTTCAAAACAGATGACTCAAAGAAGTAATGGTAGCCTAAAATTAAGACTATAATTTGGCAGAGACAAATATAGAGCCTGATGCCTGACTGCTTTCAGTTTTTGTAATACTGGGCATATTATTTAACTCTCTGCCTCAGTTTACATGTCTGTACAATAGGAATAATAACAGAATTTTCCCTTAGAATTACTGTGAAGATTAAGTGATTTAATACCTGTAATATGCTTAGAATCAGGCCTTTACTAAGTACACAGTAAGTCTCAGCTATTGTTGTTTCTGCCAACAGTGCTGTTATTACTGGGAAGTCAGTGTCCTGCATGGACACCTGTCATCAATGTGGTATGGTGAGCTACCCTTCTTTAGGGTCATGGAGCAGCCTCCAGGCCAAGACAGCCATCAGCATGGAAGGAGCTTTCACAAAAACATTTTTAAATATTTAGGTTTGTGGCAAAAGATTAAACGACACATAAATACACAAGTGTGCATTCTTTTTCTCTCTCCCAAAACAAACCAGGAATTCCTAGATTCTTCTAAGAACACAGGATTTGAAAGTGACTAGAAGTACTCTTTGTTTCCTTGCTTTACACAGGATGTCTGAGGAGAAGCATGTGCTATTCCAGATGAGTGGCCACAAACAGAGGTCAACTTAAAACTTTCTCCCTGGACAGAGCCATGCAAAATCATCCTCTGACATTTTGGAGCAGCAAAGCCACAATCTTCTAATGAAGTCTTGCTGCAGCTGATGCAGTAACATCCCCAAATTGTGGGGCAGGGGATGGGAAGAAGGGAAGTGATGTGTATCCTTCCTAAGCAATATATGCATACAAGTAAAGAGCATTATCATAGAGTTTGAGGTCAACATCTGCCTCAGTTCAAATCCCATCGTGGTCGTCCGTGTACTAACCATGGACAACTTACACAACGTCTCGGGGATTAATCTCTCAAATGGGGCCAGGAGTTCTGGAAGCACGGGGGTGCAGGACACAAAATGAGATGATTTGGCTTTGGCTCTACCTGTACAAACCCTGGGTCCTAAGTGGTAATGAATATGAACTGCCTCACTCACCTCAAGGAAGCTCTGGGACTTAGGAAAGAAAATTCTAGAATTGGCACCTGATAAAATTTTCACTAGGCAAATAAAGGCAGAGTGGTGAAAATAAGTACCAGTTCGTATGCGCTCCTTGTGGCTGGAACATTCGCCATAGCTCACTCATGCATTCTTTCTCTCGCGCGCGTACACACCACACTCAAACTCACCCACCTGAATAATTTCCATTCATGTTTTAAATCTTAATTCATATACAGTTTCCTCAGAGAAGCATTCCCTGTCACCTAGACTGAATTAGGTACCTCGCTTGTGTGTTCTCTTAATACCTTTTGGCTTTCCCTCATTGATTCTCAGTTGGTAATTACATATTTGTGTAATGATCTGATTAATGTTTGTCTTAAGATAGCCAGTTTTCCCAGTTTGGCTGAGGCTGAATTTTCCAGAAGGCAAGACTTTCAGTGCTGAAACTGGGAAAGTCCTGGCCAAACCTGCGTAATTGGTCACTCTGGTCTGCTTCCCTCTCAAGATCAGATGCTCTATGAGGACAGGGACTATGCTCTTGTTCACCGTTTATCTCTGTGCCTGGCACAGACCTGGACTAGGAACTCAGGAAACGTCTGTTGAACCAGTAAAGAAATGAATGTTTATGTTAATGTAAGCTGACCTTACTTTTCTTATGAAAGCCTATCTTTTTTTCTCCCTGAGGTTATTCTTTCTATTTTGATGTTAAAATGTTCCTTTTGAAAAATTGTCCTTATTTGACAAAATTTAAAGTTGAAAATGTTATGCTGTTTTTGTTTTTTGCCTTCCTTCACCCCCTTCCCATTCTGGGGTTGGAAATCCTACTGATTCGAGGAATCTCTGGTTTAGTAAAGAGATAACCAGGGTAGCTGAGGTCAAGACAATTAAATAAGGTCTGTCCCCATGCTACAATGCTGGTAATCACGTCTGTATCCTCTGGGCCTAGCACATTACCAAGCACATAGTAAGGGCTGAGTAAATATTTGTGAAATATATAAATGAATAGATTCTCTGCCCAGCCTCAAGACCTGCTGGAATACAACTTGTATGCCTAACTCCCTTTTCTTCCCTACCCTCTAGCTAAATATTTCTGTGACCATAAATGTGACTTCAGCATTCCTTACTGCTGAATAGATGAGAAGCATGTACCACTGCAGATGAGTGAACACATGGTCTATCCCCACCTGTTCTAGTTCATCTGTTAACATGCTTTCCTTACAGTTGAAGGGACTCTATGGTCTGCTAAAAAAAAAAAAAAAAAAAGGGCACTATCTTGATTACTGAGAGCACCTGAGAGCACCTCTCTTACCCACATGACTTTGTTCAGGCTCTTCCCTCTACCTGGAATGCCTGTTTTACTTTAGCAAAATCCTACTAGTCTTTTCAAACTTAGCTTATGTTCCTTTCTTTTAAGAAGCCACCTCTGTACCATTCCACTTGTCAAAAATAAAATGAGAACAAGTTAGGGAAAATTTGAAAGTTTACTATCTTACAAAAAGTACAGATTGCCATCAGCAAGACTTCAAGTGGTAAGAAGCTCACCTTATGGCAGTTACAGTGCAGTTTATGAAACATTAAGGAGAAAGTATTTTGACCTTTTTAGTCATTGGCTGTTATGTGTTAACATTTTTTTTTTTTTCAGGGCAAACAGGACTGTTTAAACTGATTTGTCTATAGCTGATTGATTTAATTTTCCTAAATCATGCTGACAAGGACCTAAAGCTTACGTTTTAATTTCATCAAATCATGCTGACAGGGGGATAAAGCTTATGTTTTATGCTTTGTTTATAATGAGAGCTAGCAACTCAGGGAAATCAGAATGACTTAAGTTTTACTACTTGGGGTATATATCTAAATGGTGGCCTCTATCTTTGTATAATCTTTAGCATATTCCTCACCTCCTGTGCCCATCCACAATATTTTGCATTTTGTCTTTACCATCTCATGAACCACACTATATTCTATTTGTCTATTTATTTGTATAGCTCCTCCACTAGATGGGAGCTTCTTGAAAGTAAGAACTCTGATTCATCTGTTTCCCCAGCACCCAATAGGGGGACGGGATTGCTAGTAGGTAGCAGTACATGTTTGTAAAAGGAAAGAAATATATCAGTTATTATTGTCCCCCAAATGCTAAGTTACAGACAAATACAAAACCTTAGTGACAAAGAACAGTAGACATTTATTTTTGCTCACTAGTTTGTTGGTTGACTAGGTGAGTCTGATGATCTGGGCTGGTCAATGCTGGTTACCTAGGAATATTTGCTGGTGTTGCCTGGGTTCTTTCATATATCTGGGAAATCACCTGAGACAACTGAATAGACTCAGCTCTGTTGCACATCTTCTGTCACCCAGCAGCCTTGTCAGGGCATGTTCTTGTGGCCAAGTTTGAGGAGCGAAAGACAGAACAGAGGCACACAGCCCTTTTGAGACCTAGGCTTGGAAAACTGGCCCAGTCTCACATCTGCCTCATTCTCTTGGCAAAACAAGTCACAAGACTGGTGTAGATTGAAGGGGCAGGGAGATAGACCCACATCTCAGTGTGAGGAGCTGCAAAGTCTCATTGCAAAGGGTGTTGACACAGGAAGGGTGGAGAATGGGGACCACCTTTGCGATCTCTGCCATGATGAAGGAGCCAACAGGGAAACACCTTATCAGTTTCCTTCCAAAATGATCATTTTTATTACCTTGACATTTAAATGAGTTTATCAGGAATGTTTCTAAGAAAAAAAGGAGTCATGGCCTTTCTTGGGAGAGAGTGACTTCCCCACCATAAAAGGCATTCAGTAAGAAGCTGAATTCCATGGTCATAGAAATATTAGGAGGAGAACCCTTCCTCTGCCCCTGAGGGTGAGTGTGTTCACATATTTTCCATCTTTCTTTCCAGATCAGCGAAGACCCGATTTTTGTACCAGGCGTCTGGGGGCCGTATTTCTCAGCCATGGTACCTGGGTTCTGGCTGAATGAAGGTGGTCAGAGTGTTACTGGAAAATTGGTAAGTTGACACTTTCTCAATAGGGTCATGGATGTTTTTATGTCATTGACTAGTCCATTTTGTCACATAACCCATATACCCAGTATCTGGAGGATTTGCAGACCCCTGAATCGGGGTTTACTTTCTCTTAGCACACAGCTTAACATGTACTCGTGCAGCTCAAAGAAGAAGTGTTACAGCAGGCAGTGATGACCAGCCCTTCATCTCACCTGATCTTCCTTTACTTCAACCCGTTTTTCTCAGAGTGATGAGAGTGGTATTCTACTCCATGAAAATGACATGTTACTCCCCAGCCCAAATCCTTCAGTTTTCCCCATAGCCGCTTGAGACATGGCTCAGATAATTTTCTGGCTACATTATACAGTTCATGGTCTATCCCCTCCAGTCCCACACATGTGCCTGTTATTTACACTAGATTGCCCTCCTCACAGCTTCTCCATGCCTCCTGTCATTGCACTTCTCTGTCCCTTTATACAGGCTACTTTCCCTGCTTGGGGAGTTCTTTACCATCTCAATAATTTTACTTGTCCTTTAAGATCCAACTCCAGCTCTTAGCACGCTCTGTTATTCTTATTAGTCACTAATCCCCTTTTCTAGAACACTCTGAGCCCCTTAAAGACAAGGGCCATGCGGGACACAGTGGCTCATGCCTGTAATCCCAGCACTTTGGGAGGCTGGGGCGGGCAGATCACCTGAGGTCTGAAGTTCAAGGCCAGCCTGGCCAACATGTTGAAACCCCATCTCTACTAAAAATACAAAAATTAGCCGGGCTTGGTGGTGGGCGCCTGTAATCTCAGCTATTCAGATACTCTCCTAAGACAGGAGAATCACTTGGAATCTGGGAGGCACAGGTTACAGTGAGCTGAGATCACACCACTGCACTCCAGCCTGGGCGACAAGAGCAAAACTCTATCTCAAAAAAAAAAAAAAAAAAAAAAAAAAAAAAAAAAAAAAACTCCACAAAATAAAGACAAGTTCTCTTTGTATCCAGCTCAGTGCCAGGTTCATAGAAGGTACTTAATACAAACTTATTGAATTATTAAGGCTGTCCAATAGGGGATACATAAGATTCATAAAAGTGAGATGAGTGCTGTAACAGAAGTACATGGGACAGAGTTGGCACAAAGCTAGTTTAGGAAACTCTTTACAGGGGAGAAGGCATTTGTGCTGAGCCGTAAGAGATAAATAAGGACAAACCAGGCAAAGAAGGGTACAGATAGTCACATTGGTAGGAAACTTGTATGGGAAGAAAGACGTGGAAGTGAAAAATAACAAGGCTAATTTGAGGGTAATGGCAAATAGTCCAGAAGTTCAGCTGTGGCACAAACTATTCTTAGAAGAATGGCTTACAATAAAAGTTAGAGAGCAGGGCAGAGACCACATCTCTGTAAAACATGCTAAGGAATTGAACTTCGTCTAGCAGACCAAGGGGGAACCAGTGAAAGGTTAGAAGAGTATGTGGACATATTCATATCTCAGTCGTAAAAATCTCTGCTTAGAAGCCATGAGGATAAAGGCCTGAGGACATATAACCAGAGTCAGGGAGATTAGTTTTAGTAGATTAGTCAACAGACAAAAAGCCACAAGGACTTGAATGAGGACAGTAATAATGATGACTGGGAATTGAGGTCAAGAGATTGGCAGACTTCTGAGAGATCAAATGTGGAATACAGAGAAAGTGAGACCTAGGCTCAGTTACACACACATTTACTGTTAAATTGAAAATATCTGCTTATGTTATGATCTAATTTGCCTACCAACTCTTCTAAATGTTCAGCCAATTAAAAATGATCTTATCCAAAGCTGGATGTGCATGCAAATAACTGTTAGTTTACATTTCTTAGTATAATGCTATTTTATACATGACTGCCTCAAATTCTCTTTCAAAGTAAATGGAAGCATAGGTGGGTAGATGGATTCAAAGAGCATGTTCTGTGCGATAGTGTTGTGCCAGCCTACAGAAATGAATTAAATGAATTGGACCTCATTAGTCCCTGGTTTTAAGGAGCTCATATTTGGATAGGGAATCCCTGAGTATGAAATAAATCATGTTTGATTGGTCTCAGTAACCAATGCTAGAAAAGTTGAGAAGGAAGGCATCATCTATGGCTATAGTACAGTAGAAATGCAGACCACTTTATATTCTCCTATTTAAACTTGTGCGATGTACTTAGACAATTCATTTTATTTTACTTTAAGTTCCAGGATACAACTGCAGGTTTGTTACCTAGGAATATGTGTGCCATGGTGGTTTTCTGCACCTGTCAACCCATCATCTATGTTTTAAGCCCTCCGTGCATTAGCTATGTGTCCTGAAGCTCTCCCTCCCCTTGCCCCTGACCCCCTGACTGACCCCAGTATGTGTTGTCCCCCTCTCTGTCCATGTGTTCCCATTGTTCAACTCCCACTTGTGAGTGAGAACATGCGGTGTTTTGTTTTCTGTTCCTGTGTTAGTTTGCTGAGGATGTTGGCTTCCTGCTTCATCCGTGTCCCTGCATAGTATTCCATTGTGTGTATGTGCTGCATTTTCTTTATCTAGTCTATCACTGATGGGCATTTGGGTTGGTTCCATGTCTTTGCTATTGTAAATAGTGCTACAGAGTTCCAAGATGGCCAAATGGGAACAGCTTCAGTCTATAGCTCCCAGCATGAGTGACACAGAAGATGGGTGATTTCTGCATTTCCAACTGAGGTACCAGGTTCATCTCACTGGAGCTTGTTGGACAGTGGGTGCACCCAGGAAGCACAAGGGGTAAGGGATTTCCCTGTCCTAGCCAAGGAAAGCCATGACAGACAGTACCTGGAATATCGGGACACTGCCACCCTAATACTGCACTTTTCCAGCGGTCTTAGCATACGGCACACCAGGAGATTATATCCCACTCCTGGCTCGGAGGGTTCCACGCCCACAGAGTGGGCTCACTGCTAGCACAGCAGTCTGAGAGCCAACTGCAAGGTGGCAGCGAGGCTGGGGGAGGGGCATCTATTATTGCTGAGTCTTGAGTAGGTAAACAAAACAGCTGAGAAACTCGAACTTGGTGGAGCCCACCGCAGCTCAAGGAGGCCTGCCTACCTCTGTAAACTCCACCTCTGGGGGCAGGGCATAGCTGAACAAAAGGCAGCAGAAACTTCTGCAGACTTAAACATCCCTGTCTGACAGCTTTGAAGAGAGTAGTGGTTCTCCCGGCATGGAGTTTGAGATCTGAGAACAGACAGACTGCCTCTTCAAGTGGGTCCCTGACCCCTGAGTAGCCTAACTTGGAGACACCTCCCAGTAGGGGCCAACTGACACCTCATATAGCCACGTGCCCCTCTGAGACGAAGCTTCCAGAGGAAGGATCTCGCAGCAACATTTCTGCAATACTTGCTGTTCTGCAGCCTCCACTGGTGATACTCAGGGTCTGGAGTGGACCTCCAGCGAACTCCAACAGACCTGCAGCTGAGGGTCCTGACTGTTAGAAGGAAAACTAAGCAGCAGAAAGAACATCCACAACAAAACGCAATCTGTACATCACCATCATCAAAGACCAAAGGTAGATAAAACCACAAAGATGGGGAGAAACCAGAGCAGAAAAGCTGAAAATTCTAAAAATCAGAGCACCTCTTCTCCTCCAAAGGAACACAGCTCCTCACCAGCAACAGAACAAAGCCAGACAGAGAATAACTTTGATGAGTTGAGAGAAGAAGGCTTCAGACGATCAGTAATAAAAGACTTCTCCGAGCTAAAGGAGGATGTTCAAAGCCATCGAAAAGAAGCTAAAACTTTGAAAAAAGATTTGACAAATGGATAACTAGAATACACTGTGCAGAGAAGACTTTAAATGACCTGATGGAGCTGAAAATGATGGCACAAGAACTATGTGACGCATGCGCAAGCTTCAGTAGCCAATTCAATCAAGTGGAAGAAAGGGTACCAGTGATTGAAGATCAAATGAATGAAATGAAGCCAGAAGAGAAATTTAGAGAAAAAAGAGTAAAAAGAAACGAATAAAGCCTCCAAAAAATATGGGACTATCTGAAAAGACCAAATCTACATCTGATTAGTGTACCTGAAAGTGACAGGGAGAATGGAACTACTTGGAAAACACTCTTCAGGGTATTATCCAGGAGAACTTCCCCAACCTAGCAAGGCAGGCCAACATTCAAATTCAGGAAATACAGAGAACAGCACAAAGATACTCCTCGAGAAGAGCAACCCCAAGAGACATAATTGTCAGATTCACCAAAGTTGAAATGAAGGAAAAAATATTAAGGGCAGCCAGAGAGAAAGGTTGGATTACCCACAAAGGGAAGCCCACCAGACTAACAGCGGATCTCTCGGCAGAAACCCTACCAGCCAGAAGACAGTAGGGACCAATATTCAACATTTTTAAAGAAAATACTTTTCAACCCAGAATTTCATATCCAGCCAAACTAAGCTTCATAAATGAAGGAGAAATAAAGTCCTTTACAGACAAGCAAATGTTGAGAGATTTTGTCACCATCAGGCCTGCCTTACAAGAGCTCCTGAAGGAAGCACCAGACGTGGAAAGGAACAACCTGTACCAGCCACTGCCAAAACATGCCAAATTGTAAAGACAATCGATTCTAGAAACAAACTACATCAACTAACGAGCAAAATAACCAGCTAACATCATAATGACAGGATCAAATTCACACATAACAATATTAACATTAAATGTAAATTGGCTAAATACTCCAATTAAAAGACACAGACTGGCAAAATGGATAAAGAGTCAAGACCCATCAGTGTGCTGTATTCCAGAGACCCATCTCACATGCAGAGACACACATAGGCTCAAAAAAAAGGGATAGAGGAAGATCTACCAAGCAAATGGAAAACAAAAAAAAGCAGGGGTTGCCATCCTAGTCTCTGATAAAACAGACTTTAAACCAACAAAAATCAAACGAGACAAAGAAGGTCGTTACATAATGGTGAAGGGATCAATTCAACAAGAAGAGCTAACTCTCCTAAATATACTGCACCCAATACAGGAGCA